TCTCCTTCTATTTTGAATGACATCCTAAGCTGGATAAAGTATTCTTGGCTGTATATTTTTTCATTTAGCACCCTAAATATATGGTGCCAGTCCTTTCTGGCCTGCCAGTCTCTGTGGATAGGTCTGTTGCCAATCAGTGTTTCTACCATTGTAGGTTACGGACCTCTTGTCCTGAGCTGCTTTCAGGATTTTCTCTTTGTCTCTGAGATTTGCAAGTTTCACTATTATATGTCAGGGTGTTGACCTATTTTTATTGATTTTGAGGGGAATGTTTCATGAATTTGTGTTTCATCCTTGCACAGGGACCATGCTAATCTTCTCTGTATTGTTCCAATTTTAGTATATGTGCTGCCGAAGTGAGCACTCACCAGTTAGGTTTTGAAAGTCAGGTAGTGTTAAGTCCCGAAGTCCTCTGACTTTGCTTTTCTTTCTTTCATTTTTTTAATTTTTAAGATTATTTATTTATTTGTGTGAGAGAGAGAGAGCATGAAATGGGGAAGGGACAGGGGGAGGGGGAGAAGAAAAGCTCCCCACTGAGCAGGGATTCAGATGTGGGGCTTGATCCCTGGACCCTGAGATCATGACCTGAGCCGAAGGCAGATGCTTAACCGACTGAGCCACCCAGGTGCCCCTGTTTTTCTCTTTCAATATTGTATTGACTGTTCTGGATCTTTTGCCTCTCATATAAACTTTAGTATCAGTTTCTTGATATCCACAAAGTCAATGAAATATTTAAAATAATACCAGACTCATCAGTTCCTTGGTTCCTCTGGACCTATGCTCCCACGTCTGTGAGATGCAGCCTGGTCACAACATTCTGGGCCTTCCTGGGCAAGGCAGAGCTCTGTCTCAGCCCTGGTTCAGTCAGGGCTTCCCTTTCTCATCTGAGTAGAGCCCCTGGACAGACATGCTCACGTAGGGTGGTGGGGGTCTAAGATGCAATAGTGTTAATGAAAGGCAACTTAGAAATCTCTATCAAAATGACAACTGCCTGGGGCTGGCTCAGTGGGTAGAGCATGTGACTCTTGATCTCAGGGTTGTAAGTTTGAGTCCCATGTTGGGCCTTTACTTAAAAATAAAACCTTGGGGGGCACCTGGGTGGCTTAGTCGCTAAGCATCTGTCTTTGGCTCAGGTCATGATCTTGGGGTCCTGGGATCGAGCCCTGCATCGGGCTCCCTGCTCAGCGGGAAGCCTGCTTCTCCCTCTCCCACTTCTGCTTGTGTTTCTGCTCTTGCTGTCTCTCTATCAAATAAATAAATTAAAAATCTTAAAAAAAAATAAAACTTTGGGGTGCCTCGGTGGCTCAGTTGATTAAGTACCCAACTCTTGATTTCAGCTCAGATCATGATCTTGGAGTTGTGAGATCAAGCCCTATGTGGGGCTCCGTGCTGGGCAAGGACGCTGCTTGGGAGTCTCTCTCTCCCTCTCCCCCTCCTCTCTCTCTCTCTCCTTCTCTTAAAAATAAAATAAAATAAAATAAAATAAAACGAAACAAATAAAATAAAATAAAACTAAAAAAAGACACATACGTGTTTTGCTTCAGCAATTCTGTGTCAGGGATTTATCTCACCTGTAGATTTACATGCCAGCACAATTGTTGAGGGTCAAGGGTATGCGCTCAATACTCATTGCAATGGAAAAGGACTGAAAACAACTCAACCAAATTGCAGTCAGGAACTAGTTAAATAAGTGAGGTCACAACCATAGAAGATCATCCACACAGCTGTTCAAAAACTGAGCAAACTCTCTTTGTACTGATATGGAAATCTCTCCAAGATATACCGGTAAGGAAAAAGAAACCAGGGCATGGAACAGTGTGTAAAGTGTGCCACCTTTTGTCTAAAAATGGGAGCACATGAGAATATGAATATTTACACAGACCTAAAATTATGTCTTATATTTATACAAATATATAATTATGTACAATAGTGAAACTATGTATTATAACAATATAGAATTATATATTTCCATTACATATCATATTGCATGTGTAAATATTGTATTATATTTAATTTTTAAGTATTTATAAAAATATTAATTTTATATTTTTAAAAAATTGTTTATATTGGAGATATATACGCATGTATGGGGACATATATGCATAAAATATATATCAATAATAATCACACACATATGTGCGTATACTATGCATGCGTGTATGTGTACTATATATGTACATACACATATACAAGCATGAAGAAGCCGTGGAAGGACACAAACTAATTGCAGGGGTTACCATGTGGTTTATGGGCATAAAAAATTGGTGGGTGGTGCACACACTGTGGAAGACTTTTCACTGCATACTGTTTATTTACTTAAAAACATGTAAACCATATATTAACTATTCGAACAGTGAATGAGAGCCTTTTAGGGAGGAAGGCCACCCTGGCACCCGTCCCTTCTTCCCTCTCTGCCCCCCTCCCCCCATCCAGCCGCGGCCTCGAGCGCCCCCAGTGGAACCAGCGAGGAGCGGCCCGGATTTCGACACGCGGGCTCCAGCAGCCCCGCAGAGCGCACGCGCGGACGCAGCATTGCACATGCGCCGTGGCTTGGGCGCGAAGGCCGAGCGTGAGCGGTTCAGTCAGGCGAGGCGCTCGGCGGGCGAGGTGAGCGGGGGCGGGCGCGCGGGCGTGGGGGCGTGGGGGCGAGCGTGGGAGTGGCGCGCGGGCGTGGGGGCGAGCGTGGGAGTGGCGCGCGGGCATTCCGGGGCCGAACGTGGTCGGAAGAGATGTGAGGGCGAGGGGCGGTACACCTGAGGGCGCGAGAAGCCCAGGGCGGCGGCGCGGGCCTCCCTGAGGGGCGACGCCATGGCGGCCTCGAGGCTGCGACGCGCGGTGGCCCAGCAGCTGTGCCGGGGGTGGGGGATTAGGGAGGCGCCTTCGTGGGGAGGCGACGGGAAGTAGTGGCCCTCTAGGGAAGGGGCCCGGGTCGGACGTGGGGTCTGCGGACACCCGGGAGCTGAGGATCACCGGTGCGCGGGAGTGGCCTCCCCCTCCTCAATTCCTCGGCCGGCCTCGGTTGCCTGTCCTCCTAGGCCTCAGGCCAACTCCTGTCTGTGCCGCTGGCCTCGGCCCTGCCCCCATGCCAGGCCCCGCCCCTCCTGGCCCCAGAGTCTCCGACACCCCCAGGCCCCTCCTGAGCCTAAGCCCCACCCCTACCTGCCCCGGCCGTTGGCCCCAGGCCCCGCCCCTCGCGCCCCAGACCCACCGTTATCCCAGGTCCCGCCCTGAGCTTAAGCCCCGCCCCTCCCGGCCCCAGGCCCCACCCTCAGCCCCACCCACCAAGGCTCCTGCTCCGACTTCTCCCCACGCCGGCCCCTGGGCCCCGCCTCTGTCCCGCCCCTCTGCGCTGCTCCTGCCCCTCCTCTTTCGGTCCTCCCCACTGCCTCAGTTCCACCCCTGCTGTCAGTCTCTCCTCCCTGTCCTGGCCCCTCCGGTCTGCTCTTCCTCTTTATCTTGCCCCATTCCCCCTTCAGCTCTGCCCCCGCTCTTTGCCTTACCTTGTTTTGCTCCGTTTCTCTTGCCTTGGCACCACTCTTCCCATTGTCCCCTTCAGCCCCTGCTTCCTCCTTCCACCATCACCTCTGCCCACCCAGGATGAAATGAAATGTTTAAATACAGCAATAATAAAATGTAATTGCATATTTAACTTATTTCTGGATCGACAGTGATTGCGCGTTAATATACTAAAATTCTACAAAGACTAAAGAGAAGGTGTGGCATGGCTAGAATTTTTTTTAATCAAGTAGGACAAGGAATATCCTTCATTTATATATAGTCTTTACCAATCAGCAACAGAAACACCCTACTGTGAAGAAGACAAAAGATAGGTGCAATTTATAAAGGGCCAATAAGTCTGAAAAAAAAATAGTAAGCTTTATTATTAATTTAAGGAAATGCAAAATTAAAGAATAAGAAATATATTTTTCATCTGTTTAATTGGCAACAGATTTTGAGAAATGATAATATTCTTGCTGGGCAGACTGGTTACATAATTTGCAGGGCCTAATGCAAAATGAAATATGAAGCCCCTTCTTTAAAATATGAAAAATCTCAAGATAGCAACAGCAGAGCATTAAACTAAGCTTGAGGCCTTTCTGAGCATGGAGCCTTGTATGACTGCACTGGTTGCATGCCCATGAAGCTGGCCCTATTGACTTGCAAGATGGCTATGTAATCTTATATATTGAGATGGGAAGAGGAAATTAGTGGAAGCCTTGTATGAATGTACTATATTCTACCATGTTTCTTTCTCCTCTCAAACACTATTGTCTGATTCTTTTCAATTAGAATGTCCTGGAGGGTGTGTAGTGATAGCTCATTATGGTTTTAATTCCTGTTTCTCTGATAACTAATGCAGTTGAGCCCCATTTCATGTCTGTCGGCCGTTTAGCTCTGTTTTGTGCAATACCGGCTCAAATCTTCTAAATATTGGCTGTTGTTTATATCCCTTTTTCTTACTGATTTGTATGAGTTCTTTAAATATTTTGCATAAGAATCTAGTTCTTTGTAGGATGTATGTATTATAAGGTTCTTTCCTTATTCTGTATAGTATAAAGTCACCTTAATTCATTTATTTTTTGAAGTGAAATTTTTCTGTGGTTCATCAAATTAATTCAGTTCATTGTGTTTGGGGTTCAAGTCTCTTTTCCCTTCAGTGCCATTTCTGAAATATTTCAAGCCTGTGCCTGTGCATTTTCCAGATCTGGGGATGGGGCTAAAGTAGCATCTTATCTGGAGATGTGCAAATTTCTGTGAATGTGTATTTAGGCATTTGTGTGAAATGAAGTAAATCCTTTTGCTTCAAATCTCCTCCACCCCATTGTCCAGTGCTAACTGTGCAGGCCATTTGTAAGTCTCTCTACATAATTTCTACAGGTCCTGGGTTTCTGTCTTTTTTTTCATACGATACAACTCTGCCTACCATCTTCCACAAAATATGTTCTGAAGCAGCCTCCCTTTTAAAGTATCTCCATCCTGTGAAGGGCCAAGCTGTAAAGATGCTGCACATGACAGATGTTTTGGATATCTTGAAGAATCCCCAGCTCTTCCGTCTACATGATCAAGAAGAGAATCCAGAAACCATCCCCATAAGAAATCCAGGGGCTCTGAAAGTTTCTCATCAAAAGTTTAGGGATTTTCGATATCTTTCAGTGACCGGGCCTCATCAAGCTGTGAGCCAAATCCAGGAGCTCTGCCGGCAATGGCTGCAGCCGGAGACCCACACCAAGGAGCAGATGATGGAGCAACTGGTGCTGGAACAGTTTCTGAATACCCTACCAGAGGAGGTTCGGACCTGGGTGAGGTCAAAAAAGCCTAAGAACAGCAAGGAGGCAGGAACGCTGGTGGCCAGTTTGATCCAAGCATGTGAGGAGAAAGGTGAGAGAGAAAGGAAGCAACTAACCATTTCCGTTTACTGAACATCCTCTGTATGCCTGGCATGCAACAGGAGATGTCAAATGAATAAATGAAAGAATAAATTTTATAATCCAGTCTAATCTGCCTCATATGAGATGGACAAAATTTTGGGTTTGGCTTTTGCTTTTAATATTTACTATTTCTCTGAGAGTACCCCTTCTCTCCAGCTTTGTTCTTCCCTGCTCCATTTCTTATCTCACCTAAACTTTAGTATCAACACAAAACAAGACAACACACAGGAGGTTATAAAGTGTGGGAGCTACGAGGCCTGGAAGTTTAACCTTTACCAAAATTTGGTCTCTTGGAAACTCGAGTTACTAGATTGGAACTAAGGGTATTTTAATAATGAAAGAAGAAAGCCATTTACTCCTCATCGTCCTTTGAATAAAAGTGATACTAAAAACAAAGTATTGTTTAGGGGTATTTATATACATGTATATATGTATATATATATAGAGAGAGGTAGACAGAGGCAGGGAAGGGGAAAAAAAGTATGAATATAAGACCACAGTTATCTCTGGAGAGAAGGTTGGGGGTGGACAGGAAAAAGCACATGGGTAGATATAAGTTACTGGGAATGTTCTAGATTGGGGGTTGGGTAGTGAATTCACAGGCATTAATTATACTTAAGCATGTAAATGAATAAATTTAAACAAGGTCATGCATGGTTTAATACTGAGACCATGAATTAAGGATTATGATTAATCCAATTATGTGTACCTGCATTTCTTAAAAGGATTTTGAAGATGATAATAGTGAACATGTTGAATACTTTTTTTAAAAAAGATTTTATTATTTGACACAGAGCACAGCAGGGGGGAGCAGTAGGCAGAGGCAGAAGGAGAGGGAGAAGCAGGGTCCCCAGTGAGCAAGGAGCCCGATGCAGGACTCGATCCCAGGACCCTGGGATTGTGACCTGAGCCAAAGGCAGATGCTTAACTGACAGCCACCCAGGTGCTCCATGTTGAATACTTTCAATGTACTGTATTCTAGGTGTTTTATATATACGAATTTATTTAGTTCTCTTAATAGCTCTTAAAATAGGTGTTACCCTTATTCCATAGATGAGGAGACAGAGGCATATAGAAGTTGAGTAACTTGCCCATGACCCCACAATTCGTCAGGATTCAGACCTGGGCAGCTGGCTCCAGCATCTGTACTCTAATCATGGTGTTATACTGCCTCAGGTGGACATAGAGGGTATTGTCCCAGAGGTTAAAAACTTAGCCAGGGGCACCTAGGTGGCTTGGTCATTAAGCGTTCGCCTTCAGTCATGGTCCCAGAGTCCTGGGATCGAGCCCCGCATCGGGCTCCCTGCTCTGCGGGAAGCCTGCTTCTCCCTCTCCCACTCCCCCTGCTTGTGTTCCCTCTCTTGCTGTGTCTCTCTGTGTCAAATAAATAAATATCTTTAAAAAAATTAATAAAAATAAAAACTTGGCCAAAGGCCCAGAGCTATTGATGGAGCTGGAATTCAGGGGAAAGGAAAGAGAGCTCCCTAGGACATGAGACAGAAACAACAGATGAATAAAGGGTGCACTTGGGAAGAGACTACAGGCAGGGAAGGCCTTCAAGGTTCTGGTTACTGTAGGGAATGTGGCCGTCTTCTAGATCGGTGAATGAAAAAGATTTAGGAAAATCTTTAAGAGCTGCCACTTTTTAAAATGCTTGTATCCTTTATATATGTAATGTTTAATCCTTACAAGATCACTTAGAAGTATAAGTATTGGGCGCCTGGGTGGCTCAGTTGGTTGGGCGACTGCCTTTGGCTCGGGTCATGGTCCTGGAGTCCTGGGATCGAGTCCTGCCTCGGGCTCCCTGCTCGGCGGGGGGTCTGCTTCTCCCGCTGACCCTCCCCCCTCTCGTGCTCTCTGTCTCTCATTTTCTCTCTCAAATAAATAAATAAATTAAAAAAAAGAAGTATACGTATTATTTCCATTTTGCAGTTGAGAAACTGAGGTTTCCTCGTGATTATGAGTGGACAGTGAGGTTGGGAACCACTGATAAAGAAGGAATTTCCACTTTATTTGGAAGGCAGTAGGGAGTCATTGAAGGGTTTAAAGCTGGGAAATGCCCAGAGCTCTTTTTTGCAACTTGCTATACTGAGAGGAGAAAAGATGTCTATGGTTTTTCTCTTATAGGAAGTCCAGGACTGCTGCTGTCTTCCATGGCAGGAAGGGTGGTATTGGGTGGCAAGCCACTCTCTGTGTCTCTGGGTACTGCCAGACTGCACTCAGTTCCATGGCCAGTCCTTCTCTCTTCTAGGTTTCCCTCAGGAGTTTGTCATTGCAGAAGAGAGGAACACCAACAAACTCCAAAAGGACACAGAGATGTCTGACAATCCCTCATCTGCTGGATCCCAGGTAAGTGAAACTTTCTTCTGATTTTGTTCTCCAATATGGGGATCTCACCTTCCTGATTTCTAGACCTTCCCTATTTAATTAAATCACATTCTCATTTCCTTTAAGTCTTTATATAAATATCACCTAACTGAGCCTTTCCCTGGCTATCTTATTTAAATTTTTTTTTCTGACTTGGGGGGCCTGGGTGGCTCAGTCGGTTGAGCTACTGACTCTTAGTTTCAGCTCCGGTCATGATCTCAGGGTCGTGGGACTGAGCCCCACCTCAGGCTCCATGCTCAGTGCAGAGTCTGCTTGTCCCTCTCCCTCTGCTCCTCCCCTGCTTAATGTGTGCGCGCTCTCTCTCTCTCTCTCAAATAAAATCTTAAAAAAAATTTTTTCTGACTCTTTATATCCTCTTTCCCTGCTTCATTTTTCTCTGTTGGACTAATCACCATCCCACATACTACACGTTTAACATTTTTCTGCTTTTTCTATCTCTTGAATTAATTGTTTTGTTTGTTTTTTTAGTATTCCATTTTATGCCCAGTGTTGGCTCATTTAAAACAACTCTTATGTGGTTTGCACTGTTATGCTCCTTTTTATGTGTGAAGTAAATGGCAGCTATTATAGGGACATGATACTGTTGTGAGGTTTTATTTTTTTTTCAAAAATGTTCTCCTTAATGTTCTTGTTAAATCATTTCTTTAAAGATTTATTTATTTACTTTAGAGTGGGGGAAGGGCAGAGAAAGAGGGAGAGAGAATCCTGAGCAGACTCCATGCTGATCATGGAGCTTGATTTCTGATTTTAAAACTCCAGTAATAGTACTAAATCTATAAATTTTTTGGTGTTGGCAGTTAATATGAATTTTGAATAAAATAATTTAAAAAATCCATAATAAAAACCAAATAAACTCCTCAGTAGGAGCTGGGCAGCCAGTGTATGACTTCTACTTTAAATCAGTTGTTCATAGATCTGCATAATGTTTTCCTGAAAACACAAAAGATGTATATTAATAAAATGTGTATCATATTCTTATGTAGTCTTCTAATATCTACTTTTTAAATTCAACCTTAGGGGTACCTGGGTAGCACAGTTGGTTGAGCGTACAACTCTTGGTTTTGGCTCGGGTCATGATCTGGGGGTTGTGGGGTTAAGTCCTGTGTTGGGCTCCGCACTCAGTGTGGAGTCTGCTTAGGTTTCTTTCTGCCCCTCCCCCACCAGGCCCATGTGCACGCACATGCACTCGCACGCTCTCTCTCTCAAATAAATAAATCTTTAATTAATTGATTGATTCAACCTTAGGTTATCAAGATTGTTGTAACTGTAGTTAATTGGTTTGCATTGCTGGAATATTATTCCATTGTGTGACTCTTACCGTAATATATTTCTCTCTTTTACTCTAAACAGACGTGTGGATTGTTTCTAGGTTTTGGATGTTACAAACAGCACTGCTAAGAATATAAATGTCAAGGGGTGCCTGGCTGGCGTAGTCAGTTAAGCATCTGACTCTTGATTTCGGCTCAGGTTATGATCTTGGGGTCGTGAGATCAAGCCCCACGTCAGCCTCCATGCTGGACGTGGAGCCTGCTTAAGATTCTCTCACCCTGTCCCTCTGCCCCTCCCCCTATTTCACGCATTTGTGCACGCTTTCTTTCTCTCTCTCACTCGCTAAAAAAAAAAGAATATAAATGTCTCCAAGTACACATGATCAAATATACCTAGGAATATAATTTCTGGGTCCAAAGTGGTTTACCAATTTACATTTCCCCTAGCATCTAATAAGAGGTCTCATGGGTCCACATTCTAGACAACATTTGGTATTGCCAGACTTACTAATTTTTGTCAGTTGAATGAGTGTAAATGGTACTGTGTCATTTTGCTTTGCATTTCTCTGTTTATTAATAAGATTGAATATCTCTTTATGAGCTCTTTGGGTTTTACAGATGAGTCACTGAGGCTTAACCTACCCACATTCACAAAGATTGTAAGAACCAGAGCCAGGACTTAAACCTAACTCTGATTCCTGAGGCTGAGGTATACTGCTTAGCTTTTAATTATGCACATTCATTATTTCTTTATAAAGTGGCTTAAAAGGATCTTTTTTTTTTTAAAGATTTTATTTATTTGTCAGAGAGAGAGAGTGTGAGTGTACAAGCAGGGGGTGCAGCAGGCAGAAGGAGAAGGAGGCTCCCTGCTGAGCAAGGGCCCGGTGCGGTCTCGACCTCAGGACCCTGGGATCACAACTTGAGCCAAAGGTAGACACTTAACCGACGGAGCCACCTAGGGAGTCCCTTAAAAGGATCTTTTGCCTTCAATCCAAATTTGTAGTAATTAACAGCAGGCACTATCTCAGACATGTTCCCCCTTCTTTCATACTACAAGACAAAGGTACATCACTAGGTCCCTATACCCTCTGGATTAGAACACTTGGATTAGAAGCTTTCTGCCAGGGGCACCTGGGTGGCTCAGTCAGTCAAACTTCTGCCTTCAGCTCAGGTCATGATCCCAGGGTCCTAGGATCAAGCCTAGCTTCAGGCTACCTGCTTGGCGGGGAGCCTGCTTCTCCCTCTGCCCCTCCCCTGCTTGTGTTTTCTCTCTGTCAAATAAATCTTTGAAAAAAAAAAAAACTTTCTGCCAGTCTGAATGCTTTATGTTCAGTCCTCTCTCATCAGGCTCCTTCCCCCTCTTTGGGATAATTTCTGGATTTTGACCATTTGGAAGTGTTTCTGGTATTTTAGGAGTTGGTGACTTTCAAGGATGTGGTTGTGGACTTCAGTCCGGAGGAATTAACCTACCTTAGTGCTGCTCAGAGGAACCTCTACCGGGAGGTGATGCTGGAGAATTATAGGAATCTGGTCTCCTTAGGTAAGGCTGCCTTCTCCATGGAACTTGGTTTCTGCCCACTAGGGCAGTGGTTCTCAACTCTTTTCTGTCCTCACATCAGGAACATCAGTAATAGTGGTTCACCATGTCAGTGAATTTCAACTCAGATCAAAGATAGTATTTTAATATCAAATTCACTGTTACTCATAATAGGGCCAACATTGAGTACTTAATATGTGTCAGGCATTAGTCTAAGCACTGTACATGTCTTAATTCCTTTAATCCTTAGACTAGTCCTGTGAGGGAGAGGTATATTTCCTGTTATTTTTATTATTATTGCCATTTTACAGATGAGGAAACAGAGCAGTGGGAAAGTTAAATTATCTAAAACCACATGGCTACAAAGTGGCAGGTTGAGATTTGACCCTTAGCAGTTCAGCTCCAGAATTTGCTCCCTTAAATTAAATGGCTGTACTGTCGGATGGGGGTGGGGTTCATCAGGTCTTGGCACAGTAGAAGGCTCGCAGTGAGGTTTTTTGAATGTGTGAAGGAATTGATGAAAATTTCAGGAGCTCCAAAGGCTTCTACTAGACTTAAAGTTTAAGAGTAAGAGATTGCCAGTCTCTCTTCATATCCAGAGGCAAGGTTGTTTACCTCTCCCCACAAGCTAAATATTTTTAGTACCAGTGCCAGGGTCTTCATTTCAGTGACTTTTTGGGGGCCTGAGGTCTGAAACACACAATCAAACCAAATACCATTCCAATGGCAATAAGCTGGTGCTCTTGTCCTTGTGAAGTCAGAGACCTGTGTGAGGAGATGGAAGTGCCTTCCCTCACAAGAGTGTGTAATTTGAGGGATGCCTGGGTGGTACAGTTGGTTAAGGGTTGGACTCTAATTTTGGCTCAGGTCGTGATCTCAGTGTCCTGGGATCTGTACTCAGCACGGAGTCTGCTTGAGATTCTCTCTCCTCCCTCTGCCCCTCCTGCTCATGCATGTGCACTCTCTCTCTCAAATAAATAAATAAATATTAAAAAGAAGAGTGTGTAATTTGAACTGTGACTTCTGTTGGTTACAAAGAAGGCAAAAAGGAGTGCCTTTTCCAATATAACTCCTCCCTCAGTTACCACATTTATGACTTAAAATAGAGGGAGTAAGTCAGTTTTACCTTTTTAGCCCTCATGCAGTAACCTGGAGGCATTTCTGTCTTCTTGTGAGGCCTTGGCTTCTTGTATCCCTGAAGGTTTTGGGTTAATAGAGATTTTACATATCACCCAGGACATTGTCTTCCCAAGTGTGGAATAAATACAGTGGATTGTAGAGAAGGTTATTTTAGGTAGTACCTCTTGTTGGCCTTCCATTTTAGTAAAGAGAGAGCAGACCTCAGGCCCTGAGTCTTAGACAGGGAACCAAAACTAGGTAGCACTCAATAACATTAATTTTGGTTGGATCTATTGCTGTATTATCTTCGGGGCTTTTTTTCTTTTTTTGCAAATGACTGTGGTTTCTGTTTTTAAGGTTGATATAAAGCTTCCGTTTAAATAAGTATATTTAAGTTAAAAAGAGAGATGATCTAAATAAGAGTATTAAATGCTAAATATTACAACAGGTGGCACATAGATGGGGCCAGAATGTGAAGGTCATTAATAAATTTGTCAGTGAAATTGTCAGTATGGCGGGTTCTGGAATAGGCATTGGTGTTACAAAATTGATGAGGATTCCTGTTTTCGTGGATGTTACTAATTCTAGTGGGGTGAGACAGACAATATGGAAATAATGAGGTAGTGTCTTAGTTTGTTTGGTCTGTTATAACAATAGCACAGAATGGGTAGTTTCTAAACAACAGACATTTATTTCTCATAGTTCTGGAGTCTGGAAGTCCAAGGTCAGGGTGCCAGCACAGTCATCTGAGGGCTCTCTTCTAGGTCACAGGCTTCCTGTTGTCTCCTCACTGGGTGGAAAGGGCTAGGGAATCTCATTGAAGCCTTTTTTTTATAAGGGCACTAATCCCATTCATGAGGGCTCCACCCTATGACCTAAGCACCTCTCAAAGGCCTACTTTCTAATAACACTACAGTGGGTTTCAGGATTTTAACATACGAATTTTGGGGGGATACAAACATTCAGACCACGGCAGGTGGCCTGCAAAAGACTGAAGTTTGGGAAACACAGAACTAGGGGAGGGAGGAGGAGCAGTTTAAGACAAAGGGAATGAAGGTATCATGAGGAAAAGAACTTGTTGAGCAGCTATGACATCAGATCCCCCCAAGCTGAAGTAGAGAGCCCAGCACACTGTTCTCAAGCCCCCTCTTCAATTTTTACTCCAGAGCACAGTTTTTCAACCTTGGCACAGTTGACGTTTGGGCCAGATCATTGCTTGCTGTGGAGGAATGTCCTGGGCATTACAGGATGTTTAGTGACCTGGCCTCTGTGTACTAGATATCAGTAGCCTTTCCTCTCCCTGAACTTGTGACAACCAAAAATGTCTCCATTTGGGCCAAAATCATTAGAAACAGGCTTCACAGGGCTCCTGGGGGGTGGTTCAGTCATTAAGCGTCTGCCTTTGGCTCAGGTCATGATCCCAGGGTCCTGGGATCGAGTCCCGCATCGGGCTCCCTGCTCGGCAGGAAGCCTGCTTCTCCCTCTCCCACTCCCCCTGCTTATGTTCCTGTTCTCGCTCTCTCTCTAATAAATAAATAAAATCTTAAAAAACCAGGCTTCACTTTTATTTTGTGTGAATTTGCATCTTCCTTATTATCTCTGAGTCTTTAGAGCCTAGGCTGGGAGTTGCTGTGGGTGCAAGGTAGAACCCCCAAGTTATGAGTCTCCTTCTTCAACAGGGTACCAGTTCTCTAAACCCGACATTATCTCACAGCTGGAAGAGGAAGAGTCACGTGTGAGGGAGGAAGACAGCAATACAGAGATATGTCAAGGTAAGTAGTGAGGGGGAGGCGCATGGAGACTGGAATTATGGGAAGACAGTCTCCCTAGTCAGTCGGGATGGGGGCTGGGAGCTGTTGGTTTGAGAGCATCCCTCAAAGTCCACTCAGGCCAGGGAAATAGAGGGCTGGTAGATGTTCTCATCTCAGGGCTCACAAGATTTCACCACTTAGTGTGCACTTAGTTCTTTCATCTGCTCTTCCTGTAGTCAGAGCGACTCTCTTGCCTGGTGCCAGGAAGGCCCGTTTCCCTTTTCTCTAGTGTTCCAAACCCTCTACTTATTCGTGCCTTTCCCCTTGCAGCTAGAAAGCCTTGGTCTTTCCTCTTTAATTGAGACAAGATAAAACCTTGGCCTTGATACCATTCTTCTTTCCACTTGCGTCACATTTTCCCTCATGGCAGCCCTTCAGACTTGTTGACACCCAAAGGCTCCCTTTCCCTTCCCTCTTTAACCCCCACAATCTGGTTTCCATCCCCTACCTCTGCCAACACACACACACACACACACAGTGTCTCACTGTATCTCTCTCTGTCTTCCCTCTCCCTCTCTCACACTCTGTTTTACAGCCCCCCAAAGGTCCCTACCAACATCCTTATGGCTCAAGGACAAGGACCTTCTAAACTTAACCTTCTTCAAACTCTATGGCTACAGTATGATAACATTTGTCATCTTTATGAAATCCTCTCCTTCTCTGAACTAGGTCACTATGTGTATCAGCCAGGATCATTGTTGCCCTTCAGCTCCTGTTAACAGAAAACCACACCCAAACTGGTATAAGCCATAAGGGGATTGTATTAGCTTACAGTACTGCTCATCTGGGCTTCAGGGATGGCTGGATTCAGGGGCTCAGTGATGTTATCAAGGGCCTACTTTCATTTTTTTTTTCACTCTGCCAGCAGATCCTGGGTGTGCTTTCTTGTTCCAGTCCGGGGGTGGGGGCAGTGGGGGGAGAGAGAGAGAGCAAGCGAGCAGGTGTGTCCAAGAAGCATTCTCAAGAGCGAGGACGCTTCTTTCTTAGAAGCCCTTGACACACCTCTCCTCATTTTTCAGTGTTCCATTTGGGTCATATCCCATTCCTGAACCAGTAGCTATGCCCAGTCTAGTGGTAATCAATACAGCTTTCCCTGTGTAGGCAGAGATGATGTCCAAACAAAATTCAAGGACCTACCAAGGGGATTCCTCTACCTGCCTCTGTGTTGCCTTCAGTGTCTCCTTTACATTCACTCCTTGACTCATTCAGTCATTCCACAGATATTTATTGAGCCTTTGTGGTGGGCCAGCCCTGTTCTAGGTTCTGTGGCTACAGTAATGATCAAGTCAGACAAAATCCCTTCCTTTATAGTCCTTGCATTCTAATGGTGGTGATAGTTGATACACAGACAAATAATAGAGTCTGAGTGTAAAGCAGACAGTGACAAATGGGAAGCGACTTAAGACAGTGAGATGGAGGAGGAGCACATAGAAATCTTGAGGAAGAGTGTTGCAGGCAGAGGGAATAGCAAATAGGCCACAAGTTTGGAATGAGCTTGGGTGTTCCAGAAAAAGGAAGAAAAGCAATATGGTCTGAGTAAACTGGAGGGGGATAGGAGTTAACATTGAGAAGATAGACATAGGCCAACTCACATAGGAATATGTTAAAGAATGTGGATTTCATTACAAGTGAGATGTGAAAAAGGTATTAGAGGGTTTTGAACCCATGGAATGAGGTAGTATTATTGACTCCTTAGAACGGTGCTGTCTGATGTGGCAGCCACTAGACACACATAGTTGAATTTACATGAATTAAAATTGCATAAATTTAAACTCAGTCACACCAGCCACATTTCAAGTGTTCTTTACCTACATGTGGCTAGTGGCTATGTATCAGACAGCAAAAATATACGTCATTTACCTCATTGCAAGGCATTCCACTGGGCAGCAGTGTCTAGAAAGATCCCTCTGGCTGTTCTATGGAAAGTGGGCTTTAGGAAGACCAGCAGAGAAACCAGTTGGGAGCTTGGTATTATAGGCTAAAGCTGATGGAGCTTGGTGCTGTGATTGTGGAGTACAGGTTTGAGGTATTCTCTGTGAGGAGAACGGGCAGAACAGCTGTCTCAGTCTTCTATGCGAGTCTTCTCTTCAAAGACCATTTCCTAGAAGATCTAATCCATTGTGGGTCCAGTTATCCCTTTCCTGATGATTTCCTAATCTGTATTCTGGCTCTACTATTTAATCTGTACTTTGCTCACCCAGCCTGCTATCTGCCAGGATGCGACTGTTGTGTTCATCCTTATCTCTTGTCAGTTTCTTTGCCACACAGAGAGTTGCCTTTGTAAAGCACAAACTTTTGACTACTACTACTCTCAAAAGAAAATCCAAACTTTTGGCAAAACATTCAAATCCCTCCTAATCTGCATAAGATCTGTTGTTATTTTTGGTCCATTTCTTATTTCTACTATAATGATGTGTCTCTGTGAGGAAAGAATAGAGGAACTTTTACATTTCTTTTAGATGGGGAGAACAGACCTAAAACCAAAGATCTAACTCCAGAGCAAAGCCTGCCTATGGAAAAGTCATCCTTGGGGGCAGGAATGGAGGATCTGATGGTAGGTAACTTCTGCAGTGTCTATGTAGGAGAATCTTCTCCTGATGATCCATCAGATTTGTACCAGGTCAACCAGGAGAAACCTTTGAGTCCTGTAACAATGACTGAGCCCAAGACCCCCACTCAAGAAAGAAGCCATGACAGTGATGATTTTGAGAGGAGCTTATATGTTACTAAACAATCGGAAGGGCCTCCAGGAAAGGATCCCCAGGAATGTGCTACTCCTGGAATTTGCACCCGTCCCCAGTCAGTGGATGATGAGCCTTTCTTCCAAGAGAACAGATGTGGATTTTGTGAAAGAACTTTTCTTTCCCAGACAGCTCGTGAGAGACATGAGCAGATCCATACTGGGAAGAAACCCTTTGAATGTAAACGATGTGGAAAAGCCTTCTACCTCATGGCACACCTCACCAGACATCAGAGGACTCATTCTGGTGAGAAGTCCTGTGGATGCAATGAAGGTGGAAAGTCTTTCATCCAGCGTGCAAATATCTGTGGCCGTGTAAGAATTCATAGTCAGGAAGACTACTATGAATGTTTCCAGTGTGGCAGAGCCTTTATCCAGGATGTGCATCTTTTTCAACATCTGAAAGCCCACGAGGCAGCAAAAGCCCTTCCACCTGGGTTGCCCCGCATTAAGACGTATTTAATTCGATATCAGCGGAAACATGACTATGTTGGAGAGAGAGCCTGTCAGTGTTGTGACTGTGGCAAAGCCTTCAGTCGGAGTTCACATCTTATTCAACATTATCGAATTCATGCTCAAGAGAGGCCTTACCAGTGTCAGCTGTGTGGGAAGTGTTTCAGCCGACCCTCATACCTCACTCAACATTATCAACTCCATTCTCAAGAGAAACCTGATGAGTGCAATTATTACTAAAAACCTCCAGAGAACATTCTCAACATCTTTGGCTCCATCCTGGAGAGAGACCCTCTTGAGTGCTCTGAATGTGAGAATACCTTCCTCCAGCTCTCACAACTTAATAACTTGAAAACTCGTCATGATGTGATAAAAAAAAGGCAAATGGTTGCAAGGGTATAGAAAAATCTTTTTGCAAAAGAAGATTCAGCACATGTGTCTGTAGTCACACAGGTGAAAATCCTTACAAAGAATATTTTTGTTGCATAGGAAAGAAGTTAATAGATTTTGCCTTTCTTTTGGTGGTATTCATGCAATGGAAAACTTTCATTTTGACACCCTGACAAAAATTTTGTGACTGGCAGTTGGACTCCAGACAGGCAATCTGTTCCCAAGTTTTTCTAGGAGTGTTTACATACAGTATCTTCACCACGTGGGATGTGTCAACACAGAGCGTGGTAGAAAGATTTTCAAGGTGTGCTTATATTGATTCATCCACAAGGCTGATATAATTCGTAATGTACTTATATCGTACCTCATAATTTACAAAACATTGTCATGTATATTATTTTATTTGATCTTTTAAGGAATGCTGCAATGTACCTAGTGAGCATATTATTCTATTTTTACAGGCAAAGCAAACTTGAAACTCCCAAGTTGTCGGTTGATCTGACCTAGGTTGTAAGTGATGAAGCAGGAAATGAACCCAGGTTTTGTTTTATTTTGAGATTTCATGAGATATTTATTTCATATCTTGATGTTTGACCCTGGTTTTCTTTATTCCTGCCACTTCCTCTCTGAAGAAAAGGTGCAGTGGTCTACTGCCTTCAGCAATCTTCCTCTGTAGTAGTCCCAGTACTGTTTCATGTGAAGTTCAGAAAGTTTTCTTAGGGTGAAGTATGATAGCCACTTCTCTCGAGATTTAGGATTAGAGGATGACTTTCTGAGACTAATTCAGGGAAGTGTATTTTTGCTAAACACTTTCTTGTAAGTGTTCTTGTAGATCGTAAAACTACTCAAGGAGAATTTTTTTGTAGTTTCCTGTGGTTGTCTGAGGGTTTGGGGTTTCTTATTTCCCTTTTCCTTCCTTTAAAAAAAATCCTGTTTGAGAACTTTCTTGGGCTGTGGCATCATTAGCACAGCCAACTTCACCTAAAATCCTAATTTTATGCAGAACACACTTCGCTCTTTAAAGGTATGAGCCCAGAGTTGCATAAAAATCTCTTGAATACCGTATTGCTATAATGTTAAAAGCTCTCCATCACTGCCTTGACTGGTGGTCAAATACAAAGACACATGGTAACCAGTTGGACCTGGAGTCCCAGAACCTGATTCCTTGCCTGGTAGGTAGGGTGAGTTGTTGCTGTTGTTATTCATTACCCTGCTTTTTCTCATCAGCCCTTTTTGAGGTTGATGTACAATGCATGGCCCAGAGTCATGAAATTAAAAGCAAACATGACTCGTCAGAACCTGATGAGCCAAACGAATGTTAGCCACACAACCTCTCTTCATTTCCAAAGTTCTTGATGAAATAGCCCTCATTGGCAGGCCCTATTTTTTCACGACAGTTTACTCTTCAGCCCACTGTAAATTGGTTTCTGATCCTGCCACCACTCCCACAAAGGAACAGGATGTCATTGCATCTTATTGATGGTGATATTGATTAGTCTTTTTTTTTTTAAGATTTTATTTATTTATTTGAGAGAGAGAGAATGAGAGATAGAGAGCATGAGAGGGAAGAGGGTCAGAGGGAGAAGCAGA